AAATGGGTTTGAGACAACTGCCATCAACTCTAGACTATGAAGAGCTAATTCTGGCATGAACCATGGGTTCATCATGTTGCTGAATGATTTGCATTTGCATTGAAAAAATTGGCACAAATTATGCACCTCCCTTGGAACCTGAACGCAAGAAGCTTCAAAGAACGCTGCCCGGCTGGGTTTCTGGACCGGTCCGAGCTATCAAAGAGATGCAGTGGACCGGAAGCCAAAAAACATCCCACAGCATCAATAAACCTAACAAACAATTGAACCTGCAAAACTGTTTTACAACCTGACCTCACTTTGGAACCGACATAACCAGCGACGCAACACAATAAATCAATAGAATACGTTCCAAAGCAGACCTGGCTGCCAGCTGAATGGAAATCAACAACCAGCTACGAAACACCAAGGACGTTTTAAGGATCGGGAAACGCACCAGGTCTCAAAGAAGGTTGGTTGGTCAACGCAGCATTTTGACAACATACAAAAAAATCAGCAGGTTTCCATCAAAAATTGAAAATACAAAGTTTCTCGAGGAACAAAAACAGTCCTCAATGCAAAGTCTGTGAGAGTTGGGCGGTGTTTACCATTCAGCACAATTTCGCAACATGGTGGAAATGTGCAATGACCTTTATGACAGCACAAAATAGGCGTCTCCCATCACAATTAAGAACGTTCAAATCCCTTAAGATCTTGAAGCCAGCTGACTTCAGCAAGGGAGGTGTTTGGGAGCCTCCCTGGTAGGCCTGGTAGGGTTTGGAGCCATTATAATTATTAGGTGATGTACATACACTTGGCAACTAATCAGTGATATACACAAATGAATGCTCAGCGCACACTCCAAAGATACTTCAGTCATTTCTTTTTCCCACCCACTGCTGTGATGAGCTGTAAGCGCTGTCAGCCATCGCAGTATGACCTCAGTGGCTCAGTGGCGATCATTGTCTTAGTGTGCTTTGTAGTCAAGTGCCAGTCAAGTGCTGCTCTTGTGTTTCGGGTTTGGTATCATATTCATCATAAAGATTAAAAAGCTAACTGCTGACTAAACCTGTCAAGACAATTGAAGTATTTAGTTGTACACTCACTCATGATAGACATAGTTCTTTTTGTCGTGAACCCTCTGCGCTGTCATATCACTGAATCATTCATCAGTGTCAGCATCATCCCTTTTTGGGTGTTGTTCATCGTGTACTGTGTACTTTCTTTCTCTCTCTAACTGGCTAGCCTCATTTCTGGCTATGCCATTAAAAGCTTGAAACCTATGCCTATGCCTATCACCGGTGATCCGGCTTCCGCAATTCTACGGGTCTAGTCTACCAATTACCAGCCTTCTATGGTCTGGTCTCTAGTGCAACTGCTAAGACACACCTTGCAAGCAATTCATTTGATAAACAAACAAATGAAATCTCGGAATCATCGGAATCACCATCCCGGCTCCCCATCCGGGATGGCTGGTACATATAGTTGCTTCACATTGATATGTTGAGTTGCTAACTAATAAACAAACAGTACAAGGCTCGCATTGGTGTGTTCGAGAGCCACATCACTTTACCAAGTGCGATGCTTCCTTCGGAGTCTTCAATGTCAAAGGCGACTGGGTTGCCATACCATCACGTAGCCCGGCACCGGCATGTTTTGCCAATAATGCAACAGCTCCACGAGACTTTCTGCACTGTTGGGCTGTGGCTGGTGTAAAGTCTGGGCAACGGGGTCCGGCAACACTTGAATCCAAATCCATGGTGAAATCATCAGCCTTCCTCTTCTTCGTAGTGGGCTTGAACTTCTCACCAGGCCTCATGGTTTTGATTGTGGGATATAGTTCAAATCAACAGTCCATGAGTCCATGAGAATAAGATATATTATATCTTCATAGGTTCATAGTTCATAGATGTTCATAGGTATATCAAATACTATGTTGTTGAAGTTGTTGAAAGGCCAACGGCCAACGTGATGCTTTCAACAGCTCTCATGGTTCTCCGGTTCTCATCAAGAAAAACAAAGGACAAAAAAAATATAAACAATACATTGTTATATGTAGAACAAGTGGCAACAGTCCACGCTTCAAGACAGCGTACATATTGCCCTGAATCTCCTTCATTGTAGTCAAAGCGCCTTTGGACACCTTTAGCAATGGCACTTCAACCTCCACCTGAATGGTTTCTCCTCTAATGCGGCAGCCAAAGGAGTGAGTCTCCACGTGGTACTCGAGCACTGCGCGGGAGGATTCATCAGGAATGCAACTGATCATCCATGCTGCACATGGATTGGGAACTGACAGCCCAGTCACGTGAGATCCATCCAAACCGAATCTCAAGCCATCTCCTCAGATCCGATCAATACATATATGTGTATGTTTTGTGTTTGGAGGTTCTGTGTTCTGATTATGTTTTACCAAAAAGATAACAGTAATATGTTTAAACAACAAAAAAACATATGATTAATTAGTATGAAGTATGAAAAGCATGATGGACTAATGTACTAATGGACTAATTGACTATATGATACAAAAGCTTTCAATCTAATGATAATCATAATCATAATAGTTCTAAGGCTCTAAGGATGTAATGTGATGTACTTGCCAGTGTTTGGCTTGATATGTTTGATTGTCATTGGAAGTACAATAGTCTATGAGTCTATGATTATGATGTCTAACTATTTCAGGTTGATAGTTAATAGTCTAGGTGGCCCAACTGACAGACTAGATTAGCAAGTAGTATTGCAAAACATATGCTAAACAAACAACAAGTCTCCAAGCTCACGTGACTCAGCTGCGTGCATATCTTTTTTTCACTGTCACCACTGCCATCGTTCGATTTGTTCTGCTGTGCTGATCTCCTCAAACACAATGGCAGGGAAGTCACTGGTTTTGATGGCCCTCGCTGCACAGCGGAAGCAGTACCACCACGTGTTGCACGCGTGTCAACAGCCTCTGCAATGTAGTCGCCTTTGGATTTGGTTGGAGAACAACTCTAATCCAGGCTAATCCAGCACAGTCCAGTACAATTAAGTTTTCACCATCCGTATTAGTATTAGTATTACTATATTCAGGCTTCAGGTGTTGTTTTGTAGTAAGAGTCTTGTAGTAAGTATGATCTCATGTTTGGTTAGGACGTTGTACGCTGTACAGTACAGTTACAGTCACAATAGGTAACAACACCAACCAAAACATTTAAACTGTAAAATCTGTAAAGTCAAAGGCACCAATGGAACCAGTGAAGTAAAGCTTCAGGTCTTCTGGCAACCTGTAAAGCCTCTTGCATGGCATGGCGGCAAAGTGTAAGATAGATCCTTCTTCCTTGTGGACATCAACATGTAGAAGGACTTCACCATCGCTGGCACCTTTCTTTTGCCCACTGCGAGCACCTGAACTTGACTCTGGCTCATCCATCAAGTGCAACACCAAACGGTCATGCCACGAAGCTTCAGAAGCCAGAGCCACATCGATGACAAAAGCCTCAACTTGAAGCTCGATTGAACGGAGTTGATCAGCTGTCAAGCCTTCACATTCAGAAAAGCCAAAGTTCAGGAGAGACTTCCAACTGAAGACAGATGGTTTTGTCACATCATCATCTTCTTCACCAGGTTGTTGGGCTCCTCCGCCTGAACCACTCACTTTCAGTCCATGCTTCTCCGCTTGACCTGTGACGGGTGCGACATCACAGCATCGCAGAACACAGCTCACATCGACCTTCTCGTTCACCAACAAGTCCTTGATCGCTGCATGCCATGCTGCCGTCAAAGCTTCATACGACAAAAGGCATGAATCCATCAAAGCCAGGCTTTCTAGGATGTCTGACTTGCTAAATTGCTGAAATAGAGAAGCCAAACTCTTTGCAGATGGACTCACAATGGTGACCAAAAGTTGGATGATGTACATGGCACGGACCTGGAGCATCATTTGAGCTGACTTCACGTTCAATTTCAGCTTTGACATACAGTCTGGAGTGGCCCAGCCTGATCAAAATCAAACAAATAATCAAACTATTAATCATTCATGCACCTGCTATTAACCAACTATCCAACCAACCAACCTATTGGGTCTGGGTCTGTCAGTGAGTCAATATTAAACGAGTAGTTCAAACAAACTGACTTGAAAAAATATTCAAAACATATGTTCAGTGTTCAGTCAGAACAGTCCACAATCAATCAATCAATCAATCAAAATTGTCAAATGTCAAAGCAAAAAAACTATTGGATGAATGATGTATGATGTATATGTATGTAAATATTCACTCAAACACTGTGTGGGTGTGAGTTCATTTCAATAATATATGTTTGCATCACAAGCTACAGCCTATGCTCCGGCCTCGCTGTGTCTCATCAAAGAAAAGGTTTGCAAAGCACATGAACTTGTCTCCAAAGACGGTGTGCACCTGGCGGAGGATCTCATAGAGGATATCGGCCACCTGTGGCTGTTCACAGTGCAGGAGACACAATGGCTGCCCTTCATCAGCGTCAGGCTTGTCATCAGTGGCAGTGGCATCTGAAGTGGCATTGCACGTGCATGCAGCGTTGAGAACACCTGCTTTGATCTTACCAAAGGTTGCATGACTGATGACGATCAAGCACTTGTCAGACTGAGCTGTGTCAGGCTGTTCAGCAGCCATCCACTGACACACTTCATCACTCCATTTTTCAAGCTTGTCCTGGGCAGTGGTTGCGCTGTCCACATAGAGGCTCTCATTGTAATTGGAAACTGCTGCTTCCAATTTCTGCAAGCCGGATGTAGCTCCGCCCGATGCATCTTGCTTCATGGCTTCATCAACTTTTCCTTTGATGACCTGATATGAGACAGGCACAGGTCCCAGTGAGTCGAGCACTCAATGGTTAGATTAATATGGTGAAACATATATATATGTAATGTGTAATGTTGAATTGTTCAAACTCAAGTCTAAACCCACCGACCGACTGTGAATAAATATATTGAAATATATTTAACCCATGATCTGACCTCAGAGCCATATCTTATGTTATCAGTTCCAACAGGTAAACAGGTAAACCTAACATAGTCTAAAAAACATTATATGACTGTGAACTATATATTGTTGTTGCAGAAATATGAGCCAGGCCTGAATGAGCAAAAGCAATCCATGCTCCTTGAGTGCTGGCCGGAGTGTAGACCATTTTTTATGTGTCTTTGTGCCTTTGGCTGATTCCAAAACTATGGAGCCCTTCATAGCAAAGAGTAAACCTGTGCGCAGCAAAGTAGACTTCAGCATGTTGATATGCTCTGCATCAATGCCTGCACTCATGACCTTGACGCTTGATGCCACATGGTTCACACATGCCAAAAGGTCGTCCAACCAAAGCTTCTGACGGACTCCAACAGCACACGACACAATGGGGTTGGATACGTCTTCCTCTTTTGGCAAGTTGGGTACTTGAACACCGTGAGCAGTGCCTGAAGCTCCGTTGCCAGCGTTGGACTTTGCCTTGGCCGTCGCCTTTGATTTGGATTTGGCTTTGGCCTTTGCTTTGCCTGCAGCTCGTGATTTCTTCTGATCTCCAGCTGTGACAACGCTGCCACACATGGTGGTAAGCAAGCGGCTGATCATGGTCTTCTTGGCCACTGTGTCGATCACCCAATTCGATTCAGAGTTTTCCTCCAGCAGTGGTACCTGAAAGTTCAATCTAGATGTCAAAGTGTGTTTTACATGTGTTATAATTGTTGAGTATTGATCAATGACACAATGACTATCAATATCAATGACAATAATTGTAAGTCATTTGTATAAACCCCTCAACACTAATCATTGTTCTGAAAAAGTGATTTCTGATTCCTTAATATTCATAATTATCATATAGCACAAAGTTGAATCTGTGTGTGACTAACATTGACAAATGTTAGAAACAATAACCAACCATTACTTATTGTAATAGATGAGTGTGTTCTTGAAAACCTAGAGCCTAGATACCAGAAACCCTAGTCATTTGTTCATTCATCAATTCATCACTACAGATGTCAAGAGGTTTGAGTAATGCTGCCACAATACACATAATTTGATGATCTCCAGCAGCAGAATACGCATATCTGCAGCTTCAACTCCATCAAACAATGCAATGGTCACTGTGTTGACTGCATGCAGCATACATTGCAGGACTGAGCTGTTGCAAAGCTTGGGATTCAAGAAGTCGACTGTCTCTCCCAGCTTCTGGATGACACCTTCAGCGCCAGACAACATTTGCCACTTCTTCTCGAAGACATTGTAACATCCCCGCGCTGACTCGTAGAGAGTCCATGATGAAAAGGTCTCACCAAATTCAGGATGTGTCTTGATGAACTCTGCACCTGAGTTGATGTGAGGGATTAAGAAAAACAAAACAACCATGAGATGTCTTGCTGCATATGTTGTATGTCGCATGCCTGACAAATTATGTTTATGTTTACTCTGGCTAACGTCTAGAGTCTAGACCCTTCCAAATCCAAGATCACCTAAACTTAAAAGCAATATATAATATTGAATATGCTAATCACAATCAAAGCACATCGTGTCTCATAGTCCTTCTGCGCCCACTTGATGCCAGTGTGCAATTTGTATGCTTGGAGGGCACTGTCGACCTCATGGTCCGATGTTGTGACAAACAACAGTGACAACAGGCAAAAGAATAATGGCTTAGGCTTAAAACCATTGTCATTGAACTATTCAACATTTTGAATAAAAAAAGTTTATGAATCTATGAATCTATGACTATCACCAACCAAGATGTTATGGTTTTGCTTTCAGCCAAACAACTAAACAACAACACAACATTAATTGTTTTTAAAAAAATATATATATATATTTAGACTGTATCAAACATAACGTATCCAAATAACATATGTAGATGATGATGATGATGGAGTGGTGGATGGGTAAGATATATGTGATTGTTCATAAGTCAAAGTCAAGGTGATGACTAGATCATTGACACATAATACAATAAATGCTGAGAGACATCTGGCACCATGGTCAGTAGCTCGCAGAAGGATGTAGAGGATCCTTGATGAAACCTGTTATGCAAATGGATAAGATACTTGGCAATTGCTGGTGGGATACGGTGGTGCAACACGCGGCACTCTAGGCCTTTGCTCAACGTGATCAGCAAGTTCTGGTTGCCCGGTTCTTCTTCAAGCGCTGCAAAAAAGGATTCCACCAGGCTTGCATAGCTAAGAGCTTCATAAGGTCCACTTCGCTCACCTGTCCTAGGACAAATGCCAGGCTCTGTCAACCAAGCTTCACCACGTACGCCTTCAACAATGCCTCGCAACTTGACTGACTGCTTGTAGCATTCACGAACACCGTTTTGCGCTCGGTTGTTGAGAGGATGCCTATAAATGTTCTTGGGCTGCCCTGCAAATCCTGACCTCCTGCCCGCTTGAGACGCAGCATTGTTGCTCTCTTGGTAGAACTTCACCCGGGTTTTCTCTGGCCCCACCTAACCAAAAGGCTCCAGTGATTGGTGATTGAACTAGTGATTAGATTAGTGCACAGTGACGTTGAAAGATTAGCATGGTCAGACAGACCAGAAACAAATCAATATCACCAGAGTTGAACAGAGTTGATAGATGATTGATGATAGATGATTGATGATAGATGATGTTTATATCAAATGTTCAATAGTCTGATGATATAATGATATAGACCATATGACCATATGATGCGAGCCATTAGTATTAGCAAAGTTACACATGTTTTTGAACAACACAATAACTCACGTCACATCAATGCTGATCACTGGTCAATGAGTCAGTGGTCAAACGGATGCCATGATGTGTAGAGGTGTAGGGTGGGTTTTAAGTTGTATCTTCAACCACATTGTATCCCCGAATCCCCGCCTGATAGGTCGTCCAGATCGCCTCGAGCAAAATGCGACCCTTCAGATCACCAAATATGTCAGAGACACTTGCATCGCTCCGGTATATGTCCACACCTTCTTTGGCAGTGGGTCTTGCTGTCGGTGGTGTTGCAGACATAGCTCAAAGCTGCAAAGCCCAAAGCCAAGTGGAGTGAGCAAGCTGTCTGTGACACAGAGTAGGCACGGGCTGCAGGTTTTGATCTCAAATGAGATACTGGGACGGCCGAGAGAAGTCAAAGTCAAACAGACATGATGGAAATGACAATCATATGCCAACATCTCAAGTTTCCAGTTTGTGTTATATCAAATAATATGAATTACAAATCAATATAATGATATATAAGCTCACACACGTTCACAAGACTCAGACTCACAAGCTCTTGAAACATAGAATGCAAAAGCAAAGTTAAAGTCAAGCCAACTGAAGCAAAACACAAGTTGCAGGAACTCTGCATATTACATCAACAAAGCTAATCTTAGTCGTGTGGTTTGTTCAAATCGGTGACTGGGACCAACATCTGTCTTTCTAGCTTGGCCTCTGACCCATGACATCTTTTTGATGTCGATGGATGGCGGCGGCAGGCTAGCTGGAACCCCGTCAACTAGCATTGCCTTGGCGATGTGGCGCGAGTGGCTTTACCAATTTACCAACTTCATTGATTCATTGGTTTGGATTTGACTCGTGATTTGTTGACTTAATTAATTTGAAGCACACATATCATATCAAGTAGCAACAACTCAACAACATCAGACGTGTCTAGTCTCTAGTCTTGTATTGGTTAAGAGTCAACTGTGCACTGAGACAAACCCATGCATTCATACATTGCCTTTAGCCTTTAGCCTAAAGCCTAAAGACCTAAAGATTCAAGTTGCTTGACTGGTGTGATCTTGATGCGATGTTATGTTTTGATTCGTTGTGAATATGTTAAGCAACGCACAAGAAACATATTTTGCCCCATGGAACGGGCTGTCAAAGTCTTTGCTGTTCGGGCGGTTCAAACATACTGTACACATCACATCAGCCTGCGTGTCACATCAGCTACATATGAATATGTAATTGTGTACTTGGCTTGTACTGATAATTGCAAACTAAAAGCCGATGTGATTTCAGTTCTCAATCCTAAGCAATTCTGACATTATGCAATCACGTGATCATGCAATGCATTCCTACATCAAGCCACCTCATGTTCCCCTCATGCCAACCTCAAGCGTTTTGGTCCATTGGTTGCACGGTTGCCCGTGTCAGGATGTGCTCTCTTGTGATCATCACGTGTGCTCAACTTCAGTGAGCGCTGGATGTTGAACTTCTGCAAGGACACCATGTTGCTATCGATGATCGCTTGAGTCAGCACAAACATAAAGATCACCCCAGAGCATGCCACATGCATGGAATTGCCAGCCATGTGCCGCATTGCATTGCGCGAGGGCCATGTGTCCGGAGCTTCCCCCCAGCGAAGTTTGGCAAATCTCAACGCAAAAGAACTGCATGGATGTCCGTGGGTGTATTCTGTCGATATTGGAAATCCCTGTACAGTCAATTGTTCAAGGTGTGTCATCCAACGGCGGTGGACATGGCTCATCAGAAAGTTGGTCGATGCAGTCAGGGTCATCAGGTTCTACCAGGGTAGTTCATTGCAAAACAAAACACAGCAACTTGAAACATGTTTGAACATTAAACACATAAAAAAAAGAATGTAAATTTTATAAATGTATTGTTATGTTTGTTTTATGATGAACAACTAATAGTCCAAACAAATAAAAGCAACTATTGTGGCTATTGTGAATTACAATAAAACATCTATGTTGAAATTGAGATTGATTGATTACCTGATCCTTGGATCCGGTCTTTACAATATTTATTTGTTTCTGGATTGGACTGTGACTTGCATTGACCTATAACTTGAAAACATCGGGTTGAAACCGCAGCCCGTCCCCCATCCTGATCTTTGGCATAAGTTGGCCGACCGGTTGGCGACTGTGTCAAAGAGTACACTGTATTGGGAAAGTTCTCAATGTAGCCATTGTAGCAGTCCAGTTCCCACTGGGTCAAGCAAGCCTCAAAGGCATCCTCATCAAATACCGAAGGAGACTTCTTCTGGGCGGCGGCGGCATTGGGATCCCAAAGGCTACCCTGTCGTGCGCAAGCCCAGTTCAATTCATCTTGCAGTGCGGCGGGGCTCTTCCTGAAGCCAGCGACATTGTTACCATATACACAAATAGTTGAGTTAAATTTATGTTATGATATGTTAATGATTTACTTATCACTGTATCACTTTCCCTTTCCAGTATGGAATTTTAATTAATCAATAAGACCACTATCAAAGATTAGATAATGATGATCATGATCATGAATCAAATGTATTGTATTGTCTAAGAAAAAAATACTAATCAATATCCAGCAAAACAGTTGTTGACATATCAAACAAAGCCAAACCACTCCCAATAGAAGATTTTCCAATCACAATCTGCATGAAGTTGACGATAAAATAGCTTGGTGAACACGTTGAGAGGGCTGCGCCAACCAAGCGTTTTGGTCTTGCGCCGGCCCCTTAGGCAAAGCAGAGCATGGTTGCTGGCGGCAACGATGGCAGCCACTATGACTATCACATCACTACCAGAACAATGGTTGACGCCTCAAATGATTTAAAGTTAGTCCGTGTGCCAGTGCATCAATATATTAAAACCTAAAGATTGCTAGAACAAAGTCCTAGTGACACTAGCCACTGCCGAGCTCGACGAACTGGCCAGCCAAAAGTGTGAGGGCTTATGACTTCCGCCATCCAATCATACATTGGCAAAAGAGACACCATGACCTCTCTGGGAAAGGTAGGTGTGCACTCCTGAAACACCAATGGCTCTTGACACTGAATGCGCAACCCAGCCCGTGCTAGGAAGTGTGCAAAGCTCATTGCTTCCTCACCATCCATATGCCCCATGGAGCTGTAAGCAGTACATGGAGTACCCGCAATATGTACCATTGCAATGTTGTCCTTGATGTTGCAATCCTTCAAACACTTCTTGCACCAGCAACTCCTAAGTTAAATGTGTTGTGTGTTCACGGTTGACGTTGTTCAATTTTGATATATATATATATATTTATCAAATTAAATAAACTTGTTGAATCATTAATAAACCAAAACCAGTGGACCATATCATATTCTCTATTGTGTATGACTGTAGTATGATTCATATTCATATCAAACAAAAAACATAAACAAAAATGCACTAGGCATAAAACAAAGGTTCGGTTGAACTGCCACTCCACTGGAAACCAACGGCATCAGCTTTGTTTCCAGCTGACCCTTAGATCGAAATTCATCCAGCTTCACCTGAATGGCTGGAACGAAGAACTGCGAGATATCTCCAAACATACACGCCGGAGGATGAGGATGTACAATGCATTCGTGAGATGCATCAGCGTTCCACTCCTTAACAAGTTCACATGATCGCATAATCAGCAATCAACACAAAGCACAAACTTAAGAATCAAACCAAAAAAATGGTTGAAGGTGTGCTAGTCAGTCGACTAGTAGACTCATAACAATTTAGCCTAGTAAGCCTGGTGTCGATGGCATGTGTATGAGCAGGATGAAAGGCTCCTTCGCGTGGTTTTCCCAAAGCTGCATCAACAGCAACACGGAGCTGTGCAAACGATGTGCCTGGGCAATCAATGCCTGAAAATGCAGTGGAGTATGACATTACATCCATACGAAGTCTAAGCTGTGTGAGCTGATGCAAGACTATGTCATCGGTCTCAGTCTCAGCCCGCTCCCAGTCATCATCATCCACAACCACATGCTCATCTTTTGAGATCTGCAGTTCTGGCGGCAATGCGGTGAAGACTTTCACATAATCATCAGGCCATCCTCAAAACCATGCAACCAACACTCAACACAGCCACTGCACAGCAAACTATTCTAAAATCACAACCAATTATAACATATTTATAAAACAAAAAATCATTAAAAAAACAATAAACAACATTGATTTATCACTTCAGTGATCTGTTGGCGTCTGCAAAGTTTGTGACAACCACCTCAGGTTGTGAGCCATGATGAACATCAATGTCCACACTCGCTGATTCATTTGCAGGCACATCCATGGCCGGGTCGAGCTGAGATGACCTTACTTAGTCATGATTGGTATCATGTTTGTTGATGTTAATATATGCAATCATTACAAAAGAAAACAACCAACACACAGCTAAAAGTTATCAAATAAATATAAACAAGTAACCCAAGAGCAGCAATATGATTGAGTATATCATCATCAAACGTATGTGCTTCGCTTGGCTGCTGCTGTGGCTGTTGTGTATGTTGAGTTGGTTGGTGTGCCAGTGATATGTCTTGTTGGACTTGTTGGTTTGGTATTGGTTCTTCTGTGTGTACTGGTGATTGCTCCTCATGTAGTTGTTGTATTGATGTTGTTGCTTCTGATGTGGTTTGTATGTGTGTAGTACTAGCTGCCTCATCGTGTTTGTTGTTGCTGATGTCGGCGGCGTCTTCTTCAGTGGCAGTGGATGAGCGGAGCCCAACATCATGTGCATTCATAGGTTCTAGTTCTGGTGGTTCTTCTAGTGGTTCCTGAAGCACTACTGGCTGGACAGATTGCGCATTTGATTCACGTGATGTGGTTTGGTCGTCAGGCTTTGTTGGTGTAGCTGTGGGGTGGTGTGCTTTGACTTGCTCTGTGAGGTTCTCATCAGTTGACATAGGTTGTTCAGGCTGTGTAGGTGAAGATCTGTTGGTGTCGTTGTTCTCCAATACTGGCTCTGGCTCAGGTGCTGCCGGTGTTGGTGTATCGGATGATGAACAAGTTATGTTGTTTGTTTTTTCTGATGTGTTAATTGTTTTGTCAGCAACATTGGCGCCTCTCTGCGGTTCATCAGTCTCATTCGCAGTAGTAGTCTCAGCCTGACACAGTCTGACACAGTGGCACAACATATGTGATATATAGTTATCTAAACAAACACATATATCATAAACATAACATAAACATAAGGACAAACAATATTAAGAAAAGAAACTTGTTCATCATGATCAACATGAACATTGGTGTCGGCTGTTGCAGCTGATTCAGACACTCCAAAGAAGTTCTTGACATTGACAGCTGAAACAC